ACCTGAACACAGTAGTTGTTTCCCTCATTGTGTTTCGGAGTAAATAATGGTGTACCACAAGGCTCAGTCTTAGGACCCAATATCTTTACAATCTACATAGGTAATGTAGGTCAGAACATTCCTGATGCATCCTTGCATTTATATGCCAACAATATAGTTGTTAATTGTCGAGCTAAAACAGTTGTTAAGGTTTTCCAGCTTTTACAGTCTACATTCGACATCATTCAGTCAGACTTGTTCCATCGTAAGCTGGTGCTAAATGCTGATAAAACCATAGGGATGTTGTTTTCAAACAGAAAGTTTGTACCAGCAGTCCTTCCTCCTATCTTATCTGCAAATGGTGTCCCTATTGAGTTTGTGGTTTCTTATAAATACTTGGGAATCTTGGTTGATGCACATCTCTCTTTCAAGCCACATGTCAAAAACTTGATAAATAAACTGAAAGTAAAACTGGGTTTCTTTTTCGGAAGTAGATCTTGTTTAACGCTGAATGCTATTAAATACCTTGTAGCTGCTACTTTCCTTCCAGCCACTGGCTGTGGTGGCATTACTTACATGAATGTTCCTGCAAGCACCTTGCAGATGTTGGATGCTGTCTATCATGGTGCGCTAAGATTCATAACTGGTTGTAACTATCGTACCCATCACTGCACCCTGTATTCACTGGTTAACTGGTCATCATTAACTTCACACAGACTCTCACACTGGTACATTTTCATCTTTAAATCACTCCTTGGCCTGCTGCCTTGATATATCTCCTCTTGCATGTCATGTCATCAATGCATCTATAGAGTGCACTCTCAAGACATCATTACCTGCAGCATCCCCTCAGTGCAGACTGAACTAGGCAAAAAAAGCCTTGTCTTACTCCGCTCCTGTTTCCTGGAACGCCTTTCAAAAAGATCCAAAGTTGTCGACTTTGACCTCTCTAGGGCATTTTAAACAATTGTTAAGTTCGTGGCAAAAATTAATGCAGATGTGTTCCTGTTTTGAGTATTTTACCTTGTTTCATAATGTAGCTTGTTTTCATTTTTGTTTTACATCACTAATTTGTTTACTTTTCGTTATATATGCATTTTATGGCTGCTTATTATTGTGTGCACCTTATCTGTGGTTTGTCTAAAACAGGTCTCTCATGAAAGTAAGTCCTCGTGACTCAGTGAGACTAACCTGGATAAAGAAAGGTTGAATGAATGAGTAAATATGATTATTTTTATAATGACTCCTATCTCATGTCTCTGTGATGCGCACAGGCTTTCATTGGAATGATTAAACATGGCAGCAATGCTAAACTCTTAACCAACTAGCACAATAGTGTCCGTTTCATCTGCTCCTGTTGTAGTCAGTACACGGGCTTCATTCTCCTGCTCGGTGATCTTGCTGCAGGGAATTAATGAGACAACATCCGTACAGGCATAACAAATTTTTAAAATAGTGTTTGTCCCAAAGGGATGTTAGTAAAACCATTTCAGCACTCGAGCAATCTCATAAATAGCCTACAAAGGAGGGGGGGGAAGACAAAGTTTTTTTTTTGCAAAAGCTCATGTTTGATCTAAATAAAATCCAGACCGAAAGTAGGTCAGTGCAGAGGGAACTGGTGTGGGCCTGAGAGCACCGTGTCTGCAAAACCCGCCCACCCCCATCCTTCTTACTGCGTCTCTCTCATCCTCCCTCACATGCTCTTCATCTCATCCAACACTCCCTTTTTTCATTCCAAAATGCTCAACCTTTTGACCCTAATGGTTATATTTTATTTTCTCTTTTCAATATATTCCATTCTACTTCAAAAGGCTTGTTTTATTTTTGCTACTATGCCTCTTTTTCCTGACTTGCCATCTTTTTCGATTCAAACCCATCCTTTTGCATCAAAGGCTGAATCCCTGTCTCTGGCTGCCTACATGAGTGGGATTACGCTGCTGCCATCACCCATATAAAACAAATGATAGTCATAGTGTCAGGTTAAACATTATGAGGTGTTTTTTTTCTCCATACCTCACTTTCAGCTATGTAGACCGCATTGCAGTTATGAAAATTTCCGTGATACATACAGTGCAGATACACTCGAGACATATGCTGATAAAATGTGCTCTTTTTCCATTTGTCAAAATGAGAAGCAAGGTACAATACCTCCTTTATTGTGCAAAAGTAAACAATAGTTACTTTGTTAATGTCATACAAAAAAATCATCAAGAATATATATTTTTTGCAGAGACTGACATTTTCCAATGCATGTAATGCCAACTCAGGAAAACATGGACACATCTTAGCACAACCCTTGAGTTGTAATTTTTGCAACATTGATAGAACTGTATGGTGCCAGGTGGAATCTGGCTTTACTTGCCATGAGTTTGATTAATCAAACTTTGACTCAAGCATGACTGTTTCCTCATCGGATGGGTTATTTGTACAATTTTATTTTTCGCAAGGTAAGCCAACTCATAAAACTCCTCGTCTGATATGACATTGGTTTAATTGCGAATGTGATGAAGTGTCCCAGCTCACTTCATCTGTGTAGCTTCACTTTAATGATTTTGTATTAAGCAACCGAGAGGGAAGGGATAGTGTAAATTATGGTTTAGGAAAACAACAGCCATGATCTGGAAAAACAAAATGCCTCCAAGAATAAATTGTACCACGTACTGTAACTTCCAGCTCAGAACCCAACCTCTCTTTTCTACAGCCAAGCTGTAATACAGTATATCTGTTTCTTCCACATATACACGTTTTGAAGTAAAAAAAATATATAGAGAGAGAGTTGTCAGGAAATCACTGGTAGTGTTCGACAGTGAGAAAACTACACTTCGTCCTACCAACTTGATTACATAACTAATATCAATCACTTTATTGATTACATGAGTTTCACTCAGACAACAAACCTTCACATATTTTTCTTTAGGTGCAATTGTTTCCTGCAAAAAATAATTTCCAATAACTTAATCTGGCCTGTACTAATTAGGTTTTTCTTCATTAAAACATTTAACAAAGAGATGACTCAGATGACATCAACAGGATTAGAGTACACCTAAAGCAGTCTAGCAAGACATCTGTACTGGAATACAATCAGGCAGTATTTATATCTTGAACCTATGCATCATATATATACACACACTCATACAGAGGGGGTGTTTCTCAGGTCAGGAGGACGTGAACGGATACCTCGAGGTAAAAACAATCCTAACTATAGACATGACTTGGAACACTTTTCTTCGTTAGGACACCAGTTCGAACCACATGCAGTTTCCCTGAAACACAAGCAGGACATCAGCTCTTACAGAAATATTTTATTAATGTTATGTGAGAGCAGCAATAAACAATTGGCGTATAAATAAACATTTTTTTTAAAGTACAAATATGTTTTCTCATGTTACTCAATATGACTCACTGCACACTGGACTGATTCCATTTTATCAAAAGCTGGTAGTGTTGAACATATGAAAAACACGTACGCAACAGTTCCACTTTAATATGCATTATAATGCAACCTCTAATTGAGTGAAATCACAAAGTATGGATGTGCAATATTACAAGATCTTGCATAATCTTTAAGTGCTAAAATTATGTTGTAGATGACTGTAGCTATTTTATGCAGTTTCATTAAAATTTGTTCTTTGTTCTTGAGATATTTTACCAACATACAAAAATGCTTTACTTTAAAACTTTATTCAAAACTTGCAAGGAAAGATATTGCACAGTGCGTTGAGCTTGATTTATGTGATGCAATGACTTTCTGATACTATGAATTTTAGCTCAATATTCTTCCATCATCCATCCATTCATTCATCCATCCATCCATTATCTCCTGCTTGTTACAAAGTTGGGTCGCTGGGGGCAGCAGTTTGAGCTGGGAGGCCCAGACATCTCGTTCCACAGCCACCTCTTCCAGTGCTTCTGGGAAGATTCCAAAGCGTTCCCAGACCAACCGAGATACTAGTCTCTCCAGCGTGGCCTGGGTTTTCCCCTGGTTCTCCTCCCAATTGGACATGCCCAAAGCACCTCCATAGGGAGGAGTCCAGGGAGCATCATTACTAGATGCTCAAAAAACCTCAGTTGGCTCCTTTTGATGTGGAGGAGCAGTGGTTCTACTCCAAGTATCCCCCAGATAACTGAACTCCTCACCCTATCTCTAAAGGAGAGAAGCTCATTATCTGAACAAAAAAATGTTCTTCCTGTCAGTTGGCTGTTGCAGCCCTCTTGAATGGGGTTGAATCTAAAAATCAATTGGTTCTAGATAACTTCATTATTTTCTTTTCCTGAAATGTTTATTAAATTTGTCCTGTGGTTCCTGGAATTTTTTTTTGCTAACAAAGTGTTGACTCCAGTATTTAAAGGCAAAGTTTTGAAGACTGGTCTCACTGGATCAGTTAATGTTCAGAGCATTAGTTGGGGATGAGACTATAATGTGGAATTTTAGCTCAATAACTCTGAGCTTTTGTTGTTGTTGTTGTTTTTACTAACAATTAGCTGTGGTGGCCATCTTGAATGGTACTGACTCCAAAAGCTAGATGTTCATCCAAAGACACACAGAAACATGGACAAAAACATTATCAGCTGGTAATATATATGCAAAAAGCACCACAGTAAACATTCTTAGTGATTTTAAGAAGCAAGTCAGAAGAGGATTTAATATTTTCTTCTTTTTTTTAATATAATTTACAAAGGGTTGATTAAAAAATAGCACTTCTACACTGTTATTGTAAGTTTGGCCAATTAGGTTAGAGTTGACTTCTGTATATTAAAAAAAAGTGTCTAGTCTGACTAAAGATAAAGTTAACATATATTTTAAATGAACTTCATTGTTAGTTTACTTTTTAATTATTGTCTTTTAAAATTACAGTTTATTAAATGGCAGCACTTGGAGTGTTTCCTCTAAACTTGGTCAACTTTTCAAACTATTATACAGACATGATATCATCATTGAGCTCTCAATGTTAACTTTATTTAAAACAGTTGCCATTGTGTTAGACAATTTATTTATTCTTTGCATGCCCTTTCTTTTTAAGATGGAGAGGGTGGTGGAGAGCTGTCCCCCCCAGTGGGCGCTGGAGTCAACAGCAACAGCTGGCACTTCAGATATGGCGCTGGACAAGGCTACATGCCTCCTCAGCCTCTGAAACCTGGAGAGATTCCACCTGAAGCCTTCATCATACCTGGATCTCCAGCCATCATTTCTATCCGACATGACCCGGGCCCTGTGGACGACAAAGGTGACTTCATTAGCTTTGGCAAGAAGGAGGAAGCCAAGAAGAAGAAAAAGAAGAAGAAGGACAAGAAGGACAAGAAGGATAAAGGAAAGGATGATGGTGGTGATGATTAGGTGAGGATGTGACCTGAAAGCAGAGCAACCAATACACTACCATCCCAATTTCAGAGCCAGGAAAGAAAGATGCACACATAACCTAGGGAGCCTCCATGCACCATATTTGCATAGACTTTGTACAGCGGCCAAATCCTCATTCGACCAGGCCTGGCTCCCACATCAACCAAACTCCAACTGTTCTTTTATCTAACGGCTGGACTAAATTAAAACAGAAAGCAATTAATTCATTAGATTTGCCTTTCTGTGATTTGCGTCCAGCTCTCACAAAACCCCCACCCAGTTTGTATAATGACAACAAAGCACCCAAAGAAGTGTGCTGTTTGTACCTGAGCATCGTCCGCCGCGGGGTTGCTGGTGTCAACATCTCCAGCAACCTCGTTGTTTTTTGCCAAGACAACTTGAAGTGAAAGCCAAACTGAAGCGGACAAAACAAATGAAACAGAAGTTTTGTCTTCAATATTATGGAGGGCTTGTAGGAGTTCAGAAAATGTGGTATTTTATAAAAAATTAAAAAAAATTGATAAAAGAAAAGAAAAAAATGAAAAGAAAAACTTTGAAAAAAAAGTACCAACACAGTACGAGCTGCGTACCATACGGTAAGCACCTTTAAGAGGTTGAGGTGACTGAGAGAAGCCGGACACACTCAAGCACTCAAACAGCTCTGTTTCAGTGTAACATAGCACATAATGCAGGCGGACGACCTGCACTGGGTTGAACCATCAATGCGCAAGTTTGTTCCCAGGTTAGTTTAGAGGAAAGTGGCTTCATAGCTGATGACTCATTTGTAATTAGCAAGTTACTAAAATCTAAATGTACAGTCGATATTAAAAGTTCAGTTTAAGCTTGTATCTATGACAATGAAACACGAGTCAGCACTATCGGTTTGCTGCTGATTGTGGGAAACTGTGAATTTTGAAATGAATCGTTGGGCTTAAATGCTGTGATTGGACAAAATCATCCATTTTTGTCTCTATAATGAGAACAGTTTTTACATGTTTTTGTCCGCTCTCTGCAAATTATCCATGGCTAACCATTTTTTCTAAACTAACTACTGTGATTTTGGAATTTTATATTATTGGCATCGGCGTTTGTGATGAGCTGTTCATAGAAAAGTACATTAGTTGAAACCTTAGATTGTATATATGCTAAACTGGACACCAAAGCAGAATGCGGAAGTTGAAGCCAAAAGTAAATCTTCGCCCCCTAGAGGCTGCCCGCAGTATAAGGTTTAGGTCTATGCAAATAAATAGACGTTTTGGCATCAATGGGACATGCTGGCTTCACTTTTATACAAAAGAAGATGAACATTGTTTATCTTTATATGCAGTCTTTGGTTGAAACTCAAAGTGATGACAAATAATCAGATTTAATGTTCACTTTTATGATTTATCTAATGCAATATTTGCTAATATAAACTCAAAATTGAGAATTTGAATAGAGTTCTTAAAGCAAATCTCATCACATGAGCATGTTGTCTGTTGTACAACCAAACGGTATTTTTTGTTAATAAAAAGAAAACACTGAAAAATATTCCAATGCAGCTGGTTGGCAGACGTATATAATGTGTAGAAAATGGACAGAAACATGGAAAAATTATTGCTAAAGCACTTCAAGTTACTAAATGACATGGAACTTATGAAGACAAAAAAAAAAACATGATTTGTGGAGAAAAAAACAACATTTGTGCTTTACCGTTAGTGAGTGCAGCTTTGTGGCAATGTATCATTTGCACTATAGCTTTATTGCTTGCTTAATTATTTAACTGTTTTATATGGTTACAATATAATTGATTTTTGTGACAATATTGCTTGTAATTTAGCGTAAACTGGAATAAGGTGCTACTTTAAGGAAGACAGGGAACCTACATGCAGCGGATGCAACCGACCCCTAAGCCTTGCTGCTCAAACTACGATCGATATGGTCCTACCTATTAACGCCATTTATCAGAACACCCAGTCAGATATACACACTTCTGCACACAAACACTGTCCTTGCTATAAAAACATGCATAAAGCAAACACATATGTTTCCTCAACAAATACTGAAACACATATGAACAGCCCAACAGAGAAATAAGAATCCACCCTTTTATCTGGAAACTCAGAAACTCAAGGCCATTGCTGAAACCGGGAGTGTATTATACGGCTGAGATGCAGGAACATTGCTCGTCGCTTCTTTTCTGTTCAAGCCTGATCCCTCCGCTTCTGTCTTTGAATGTTAAGTAGTTGTTCTTCAAGCTCTGCACCACTGCCTCAACTGCTTCAGTGCTTGTAGGATTTGCTTGCCCCCGCTGCCTATTTCCTCCCTCCGCTCCTGTTTCTACAAATCAACACAGTCTGGACAATGTTTTTTTTATAAAGTCGCTCTCCTTCAGTGAACTGTGCAGCTGTAACTCAGTAACATCTGTGTATATTCATATTTACATACAAATACATATACTCATACAAAAACAGCCTTTAAGTTTAACTTCAGTGTCAAACTGAGCTTAGGCGCCTGACTGTTGAATGCTGCTCATAGTTGACAGCTCTGTCGTCTTTTACATGGGCTTGTGAGGACGCCTGACACATTAGCAGAAACTCTGATTATGCTGTGCTTGATGTAATGTGATAAGATGGAGTGTCAAAAAATAGCATTCATCTGTTAGGTCAGAGCAGTAGGAAAAAAATTTTTTGAACAAGTTCATCCTCTTTTTTACGAGCAGAGTTATTGGAGTATTTCATGTGTCTGACATCATTAACAACCAATTGGCCATTTTTTAAATGAGTGCGTTTAGCGAAAATGGAAAGGGAATTGGGGTTTGTTTCAACATGGGGTAAATTTCTTAGAAAATAGCAAGAGTGAATACAATAACTGTTCAAGGAAAATTAGAGACCACATAAAAAGAAGTACAACCACACCTGGCAAGACATTGAAATAAGATTTTATATTTGATTTTGTGCTATGTTCTTGTTAGTATTGCTTTATTGTTGTGCTTAAACATGGCTGCCAGGAAGTGCCATGTCACATTTGAGCCATAAAGAAAATGTGAACTTCAATTGGCCAGACTTTGTCAAAAAGAAGAGTAGCAGAAGCAACAAATATTGTAAGAGCTACAACGGGATTATATAAAAGTGTTGTGACATCTCACCTCATATCGCCCGTTGTAATGCTGATCTCCATTGGAGTAATGTGGGTGCTGCCGTACAGCTCAGTTCCTCCCATTCACCTGACCCCCCGTCCTGCAGGTGTACTTCTGTGCTGTCAGATCACCAAGTGGCTGTTTGCATGTTCTAAGCAAAGGAAATAGATTCTATATAGATACTATATATACATAGATATGTATTTCCACCGAGAACTGTGTATTGAAATACATGTACCTCTGATACACGTCGCCAAGAAAAAACACAAACATCAATAGACCTGCATTCATATATAAAGGACATGAGTACATAAAGATACTGTTGATAACAATAAATTGTGGAAAAACCTGAAAGAATCACATTTTTATCCTGTCAACAATGACTTCAGTCTTCTACATATATACATAATGCTATGGTGTTATGCTACGAAAGGCCTTTTTTATGGTTTTTACTCATCTGGTTTTCAAAGCTAAGAAAAACAATCCTTAAAGGGATATTTTCACCATATTGAAAGAGTGTTTTGTGTAAAAGTTATAAACATTTATTATCTTCCTTAATGTAAATAGAACTCTAAGTTTGCAGGAGTACTTTACGTCCAACTATGTTAACTATTGTTAAGCTACTGGTTAGTCCAAATGCAGTCAAAGTGGATTTCTGCTGTCTTACAACTGATTCAATTACACAATTCCCATACTGTTTTATGCAAATGCTCTTTTTAAAACCTTTCTATCACTAATAATTTGACATTACATGCTTATTTGAATATAATTTTGTGGCTATATTGAGCACAGATTGTGCTAGTGGCCATAGGTTTTTTATTACGTGGCATTTTGGTGGAAATATTTAAAATTTTCTGCCAGAATTAAATAAAATATATAATAAATAAAGTATGTTCCTATACAATGGTGAAATTGGTTCTCTGCATTTAACCCATTGCACCTGGGATACACCCAGGTGGAGCAGTGGGCAGCTATGAAGGCACCTGGGGAGCAATTGGGGATTAGGTGTCTTGTTCAGAGACACCACGACATGTGGGAATGGATGGGGATTGAACCTGTGCTTTTGTGTCCTGAGTCAGCTGCCATGCCTCTTCCCCATCTTGGCCCCCAGAAAATATAGGAAGTGCTACAGCTGGCTGCTGCTGTCACTTTTGGTGAATGCAATTAACCATAGAATCATGCAGATAACTGTGTATGGAGAAACTAATGGAGGTGTAAAGGCCTATGAATATGTTTATATATTAATCCTGCCAGACTAAAAATGTATTTATGAGGTTATTCAAAGCGTTATCTGGTATTATATCAGTTGATCTTGACTTTTACACAGAACACCACTTTCAAATAGCTGAAATATCCCTTTAAACTTGTGTTGAGCTTTGTAATGGTCAATCAAACACTAATGTGAAATGGAATCATTTATTCATTCTGCATATCTGGTTTTTGACCTGTAGGGGTAAAAAAGCAACAACAAAAAAGGAAAAAAAAGAATAAAAAACAAAAATGTGTTAAAAATAACGTCGGTGTATTCTCTGCTTGTGTATAGTGAATGTTCCTCAGTCGCCGGGCGCGGCAGCAGGGACTGGTGTACACCAGTCGACTGTGGCCGTACAGATCTGTTCATGACTTTTTTGTACACCTGCCTCTCATTGTTAAGGTGATAATAGTGATTCCTATGATTTCATCAATCTGGTAATGTGTTTTGTTAAGAAGTCACTAATAAAGTTCTTTTGGTAAAAATCTGAAAGCGTGTCGTGACTTTGTTGAGTTTAACTTAACGCCATCTTGGTTTTTGTCACTTGAAAACTTACACCAAATGAAATGTTACAAATAGAAATTGATGACTCAGATACACAGCTTTGGAAACATTATTTCTAACTTCTATTTCATTTTATTGTTTTTTTTTTTAGATTTCCATACTTCACTGATATTTTTGACACAGTTTTAATGAGTTGACCATGAGTCACAAATGGTTGCTGCACACTTGAATTAACGTCTCCTGGAGGTGATAATGCTGCAAATGTGCACTCTGAGAAATCCTAATAGCCTGCCGGCTTTAACAGAAGAAACCAGCTGAATCCCACTCTTTAGATAAGAGACAAGTGGTGGAGCTCTGAAATCCACAAAACTCAGTTTTCACTGCTTGTGTGGGCAAGCAGTTGGGCTCTTTTCAACCTGGGTTTGCTTGCATTTGTATTTTTTATTTCTTTGAGTCTGTTGCTCAACACTTTAATTAAGATTTTACAGCCTAATCATGCAGATCGAAATAGTGCACTAGTGTGTCAACTGCCTTTAAACATTATAAAAACATGTTGATTTCTCACAGGCACAGCTGGTAGAGCTGCCTCCTCTCAGCAAGAAGTTCGCTGGCTCTCTGTGCATGAGTGGGTTTTGTCCGGGTACACCGGTTTCCTCCCACAGACAAGAAACATGTATGTTAGGCTGATTGGTAACGCTAAAGCAGGGTGTCAAACTCACTTACAAAGGGGGCCAAAATTAAAACATTGTTTAAACTAAGGGCCAGTTTCAGAATCTATATTAACTCAAGTTAGATACCCAACATCTTTTTTTGGTTGCAGGTTCCTCAGCAAAGTTTAATTGGTCTCATTTGACGTTTTCTGTTACACTTTTGACATCATAATCAAAAATTACTGAAAAAAATTAAAGTATTTTATATTTAAAATAACATCTTGTGGGCCGCATAAGATATCAACGAGGGCCACATTTGGCCCCCGGGCCTTGAGTTTGACACATGTGCGAATTGTCCCTAGGTGTGAGTGAGAGAGTGAATGGTTGTTTGTCTCTATGTGTCCCTGTGATGGACTAGAGACCTGTCCAGGGTGTCCCCCGCCTCGCGCACAGTGACTGCCGGACATGGGCACCAGTGACCCCCGTGACCCAGGAAGGAAGAAGCGGGTAAAGATAATGGATGGATGGATGGATGGATGGATGGATGGATGGATGGATGGATG